CTAGAAGGCTCTGTTTGCAGCAGCGGTGGGACAGCAGGCCTGAGCCTCTCTCTAGCAGTCAAAACAGAACTTGCAAAACCGAGAGCAGACAGCCTTCCTGCGTGTCCCAAGGCCCCTAGCTGCTCCACAGGGCACGCAAGTCTCCCCAGATATCAGTGTACAGTCGGCACCCTGGGTCATTCCCTGCATGATGGAGGGAGGACGGGTGCCTTTCCCTTATCAAAGCCAAGGGCAGGAGTGATGATAAGGGCATCTTGGGCTGGGAAGGCCCCCTTCCAAGGGTCATCTCTGGCATCCGCCCTGCGTCCAGCTAAGGTTTGCTGTCCTCCTCTGCAGACAGACCCTGGTTGCCGGCCGCCCCTTACAGCAGCACTGCTCATTAACAGTCCAGCCATGGGCAGCTCCCTGTTGGGAGTCCAGCATGGGATGGTCGGGGAACGATGCCTTTCCGAGATCTGGGTTAGACGTCACCTGCTCTCACACAAGACCCGTCTCTCTTGTCTTATCTCTTGCGGAGACGGGAACAGAGAGTCATGGGCTGGAGGAGGACCAGGGGGAGGGATTGAAGTCAAAACCAAGGCAGTCCAGTCCAAGGCTGAGGATGCTTGGCTCTGTCTAAACCCTGGCTCCTCAAAGTGTGGTCCACTGGCAGGAAGCATCTGCCTCCTCTGGGAGCCAAGGAAAAATGTGGGATCCCGGGTCCCGCCTCAGACCTGCTAATTCCACTTCAGCATTTTTATCAAGGTCTCCCAGGGACTCATCTGCTCATTTAAGTCTGAGAAGTGCCAGACTAGGGCTTCATGTCCTTGTTCACTATGAGCTTCGGGGCAGGGGTCTCAACCCAGAGCAAGACTGTGTGTGGAGGTGTCAGTGTCCGCCCCTCATCCCAACCTTCCCCAAGCCTCCCAGCACACTGGGCTCCACTCCAAAACCATCCCAGCCGTCCACCGCTAGCCTCGGACCCTGCAGGCAGGTGGGAGTGGTTCCCGGGCAGTGGGTCCCTCCATCTCTGTTCCTAATGGAGAAGGTTGCCCACCCCCACATCACCCGGCTTTGGGACTATTTCTGCACACAGCACAGGCCACTTGGTTCAGTGGGGTGGCGAGGGGCTTTGTTTTTCTTCTCTTTATGTGTGTGTGATTCACTCAGCTTGCTTCTTTTTGTTTTGAACAAGGGGTGGGTTTTGTGTCTCTGAACGACACCCTTGTGGCCCGTGTCCCCCCGCCCCACCCACCCCCCCACCCCTTGGAGGAGAGGCTCTGTTTTTGAAGCATCAGGGTTCTGCCACCCGGACCTGGGGAGGCATATTTAAAGCTGTTTAAACTGACAGACCAGGCAAACAGGATTAACTCTGTGGCCCAGAAGGGGAGGTGTGGGACGGAGGGGGCCGCCGAACGGTTTACATGGGTGAGCAGGAGGAGGACGGCCGGCCGGCCAGGCTGGGAAGGAGCCGACCGCTCGAGGCAGCCAAGAAGTCTCTATCTGGGAGGTAGGCAGAGAGCTTGCAATCTGCCGGGTGATTGGATTAGACATGGTGTGAAATTCGGAGCAGGGCTGCACGGCTGGGGCTGGGGCCCGGGGCTGCTTCGGGGCCCCAGACGGCGCGGGGGCTCCTGTCCTGCCCCAGCGGGCCTTGGAGACGGACTAGACGGCATGGCCTCACGGGCTCCCCTGCACCCGGCCCCGTGTCTCCCCGAACCACAGAGCCTCCCCTGCCTTCTCGGGGGACTCGGGGCCCAGGGACCCCCTATTCACATCCACCCTGGCTCAGCCGCGCTCTCAGTAGCAGAGGGAGAGGCCCCGCCCTCTTCCTTCATTTTCCTTTGTCTCGCTTCCATCTTCCTCGGGTTCCGTCTCTCTCCTGCCCCGTGCGGTTCACCCCGAGGACTCTGCTCCATCTGCAGCTGTCCAACACCCTGATTCCACTTGTGTTCTCCACTTGTGGAAGTTTGGATGGACGTCTCCAAGGATTTTGTAACTTCTCCCTGAAGTCGGATCGGGCCACCGGGACTGGGGCAGTGGGATTTCTCATCGTTGGGAAGTTGACAAGGTTTAAGCCTTTCTGGCAAAGGCGCTAACATTAGGTGCAAGTCCAGAAAGAGAAAAGAGGGCCTAGACCTCTTGGTTGAAGGGTTGGAACCGGGTTTAACGGGCATTCCCGGACCCCACCCAGCAGAGTGGGAGAGTCAGCCCGGACAGTCAGCCTCTGGCTGGCGTGGGTGATGCAGGCTGGTGGCCAGAGTGCAGACGCCTGGATCCCGGGCAGAGGGCAGTGCCCACCACCTCCTGGCTCTATGCTGACTCTCGTCATAAAAGGCAGCAGAGGAGGAGCCACTGCAGGAGGGCCAAGGCCCAGACACAGGTCTGAGATCTTGGTTTTTCACCAACCGAGTGGTCAGCAGAACGCAGCCAGTGAGTGACCCCAGATAACTGCTCGTGGTCCGGAGAACTGCCTGGATGAGTCCCGCCCAACTTCCTGACCCACAGAATTGTCGTTTTAAGGTGCTAAGTTCTGGGATTGTTTGTTACACAGCAGTAGACCCACTGAAACACTCTGTGATTGTGTTTGTGGTCCAACACCAGTGAAGCCATCACTTCTTAGCTCATCTTTCAGGGTCAGTCTATCATCTACTGTTGCGTGGGCTGCAAACCAGCCTAGGACTCTCTCAGTCCTTGGAAAAAAGGATCACCCAGGCATCGTGATGCTCAAGGTTGGGAGAACTGCCTGATTCTGTAGACAAGATCAGGAGTGTGTTAGAATGTGCTGGTGCAGCTCTGGAAAGAAGAAGTGGGTCCCCTACATTTAAGCCTGACATTATTCCATTCCATCCTCGTTTCTTTGTCTCATTCCCTGCTTGCATTCCCAAGCCATCCAAGGACCATATAGTTTCAATTCCCTGCAGGTGATTTCTAGCTCATCCCAGGGTCATCATTTTCATCTGTCTCCCTAGAAACTCCTATCATTTCTCTCCACTAAACACTGGAGTTGAAGTTCACTCCATCATGCCAGCTGCCAGATCTAAAGACAGCCCCAAGGTGCAGTGTTCTGCCCATGGCCATAGAGAGCTAGGTCCCACAATCTGCTCTCCTGGGGATGTTTGCAGAGCTCTTAGCGTGTAGTTGGTGCTCCAAAGTGAGTCCCCAGGCAGGTAAACCTCCAATGGTTCAGTAACACTAATTTAAACGGTATCAGATAGTTAAAAGGCTAGGGAGAGGAAGGGAGCAAAAATAGTGTACTAAGATGAACTCAAGAGTATTAATACTTATTCTTGGGACTTGGTGGTGGTCCAGTAGGTAACATTCCTCACTCCCAATGCAGGGGGCCTGGGTTCAATTCCTGGTCGGGGAACTAGACTCCACAATCAACTGAAGATCCCACAAGCGCGACTAAGACCCAACACAGCCAAAATAAACAAAAATTTTAAAAAGAGCCCTTATTCTGGAACAAAAAAACCCTACTTCCTATCCATAGGAGACTGGTTCTATAAACCACAATATCCTCACACAATGGAATATTAACAGCTATGAAAACAATGAGCAAGTTTTAAAAATACATTGATATGAAAAGTTAGCCAATGTACACTGTTCTACAAAAAAAGAGTTTCAAAATGTGTACAAAGGGCGCTTCCTTTTTGTCTAATGGAGAAGGACAACAATAATGTATACTTACATGTGTTTGTATTTGCATAAAAAAACACGGATAGAACACACATGAAATTAACAACAACAGTTTCTGCTGGCAGAGCAGAGAGGAAAGAGAGATGCCAGGGTCGGCTGGTGACACGGTGAATTGATATTTACCATAAGCTTTTTCATTGTTTTGATCTTGGACCATGTGAATTGCATTACCTAATCCAAAAAAACGCTGGGGGTCGGGGAGAAAGGATACGTACTTTGCCTAACTTGATTAAAGAAAAAGCACAAGAAGAAAAACCAGGATCAGAAGCTCTGGATGGAACCATGCCTGTCTCAGTTGCCCGGGGAAAACCCCGGGATTTACAAAGAGCTTGAAAAAATCTTAGGAAGGAGGTGAGGTGAAGGCAGTGCTTTATCATGGTTTCCAAGAATCTGAAGCCACGTTGGTACTTGCGGTGCCAAGTGGGAGACACAGGCTCTCATACCTGAAGGAGGCGTTAAACTCTAGGAACTGCTAGGATGGGTTTCCGTCAAGACTTAGGAATCTCATGCTTTGATTTGGGTGAGTCTTGACTGAACTTCCAGACCCATGAGTCCAAGATAATTATTCCAGTCCACACACTCCCTGACAGCGAGGAAGAGTTCCTTTCTCTAGCCAGATCCCAATTGCAGGTGAAAACTGGCAAGTCTGAAGCTGACCTCCAGGGGTCAGGGGACTTGTGCCTTGGGTACCAAATCTGTACAAAGTGAAAAGAGTTGTACTTGTTAAATAAGCATCCCTTTCCTTCTTTTATTTTTTAAAGCAAATCTCTTTAAGAAGTTATTTATTTTTGGTTGCGCTGGGTCTTCGTTGCTGCACAGGCTTTTCTCTAGTTATGGAAAGTGGGGGCTACTCTCTAGTCCTGGTTCTTGGGCTTCTCTTGTTGCACAGCAGAGGTTCAAGGCTCCCGGGCTTCAGCAGTTATGGCTCAGACTTAGTTACTCCGAGGCACGTGGTATCTTCCCGAACCGGATTGAACCTGCGTCCCCTGCGTTGGCAGGCAGATTCTTAACCACTGGGCCACCAGGGAAGTCCCCTTAACTCCTTTCAGAAACAGAATATTACAACTTCCTGGAGAGCAGGGACATATACTCCTTTTCCACTCCTTATTCCACTACTTGTGGAATAAACGAATGAATGAATGCATTGTCTAAAACCCACGAAATATAGTTTATTTGTGAGTTGTGCGAAAAATCATTTGCAACAAGCCATCAAATTATTTTCGGAAGCAGCGAAGGTTCCAGGTTGTGTCTCACACTGGGAGGCGGTGACGGCTTTGCCGGTAGAGGGCAGCGGTGACTTGTCAATTAATACAAGTGTGTGTGTGTGTGTGTGTGTGTGTGTGTGTGTGTGTCTGCGTCCTGCAGCCTGCACTCTTCTCTGTTCCTCCTCTCCACCATCAGCTCCTTCCTGTGTGTGTGTGTGTGTGTCTGTGTGTGTGTGTGTGTGTCTGCGTCCTGCAGCCCGCACTCTTCTCTGTTCCTCCTCTCCACCATCAGCTCCTTCCTGTGTGTGTGTGTGTGTCTGTGTGTCTGTGTGTCTGTGTGTGTGTGTGTGTATCTGCGTCCTGCAGCCCGCACTCTTCTCTGTTCCTCCTCTCCACCATCAGCTCCTTCCTGCCGTATCTGTCAAGGCAGAATGACCTGCCTTCGGTCAATACACGCGCTTCAGTGATGGACAGTTGAGGTCATAGTCCTTGACCCACGAAACCCCCTTGGCTGGACTTGGCAAACCCACTCTGTGCTGGAATGAACTTGAATTCTACATTAATACCTTCTTAATAACATTCAGAAACCGTGGGGATTGTTTTCTGGGAAAGAAGATGCCGCCCCCTCCCCTCTTCCCCTGGGGCCCCTGACCCCTCTTTATCTGCTGACAGGCACCATATCTAATCTCGGGAATGAGGGGCAGCTCTGCAAGACCTGGGCGCTTTCCGGGTGGAGGGAGCGGGCAGGGAGGAGCGCCCGGCCAGGATCGCAGGCTGCTCAAATATTTAAGGGTACAAAGAAGCAGCTGTCAAGCACTTGTGCATTCGGGAGGGAGAGGGAGCCGGGTATAATTAGCCTGCCCTGGTTCCCCGCGAGGACTTCTCCCCTGGGGCCCCCTCAGCCCAACCGACTGCATGCAGATCAGCACCAGAGGAGGCTGATGGCTTGCATTCCTTTCCTCCAAAACTCTGGGAAAGAAGACTTTCCTCTCCAGGGTAATAAACGGGGACGTCCTTCACCCCCTGACTTTTTCTGGACCTCAGTTACTTCAGCTGATAAATAGGAGAACTGAATTCACCCACTCCACTTCCAACCTGACAGTTCAGTGATGGAATTGAGCGCCTTGGCTTCCGTGGTGGCTTAGCTGCTAAAGAATCGCTGCAATGTGGGAGACCTGGGTTCAATCCCTTGGTTGGGAAGATCCCCTGGAGAAGGGAACAGCTACCCACTCCAGTATTCTGGCCATGAGAATTCCATGGACTGTATAGTCCATGGGGTCGCAAAGAGTCAGACACAGATGAGCAACTTTCACTTTCACTTCACTACAAAGCAATGAGCCCAGTGGTATCCAGCAGAATGCACACAGGGACCCACTGGGACAAAACTAAGTCCAGAAAGTCAGCTACATGTAAAGTCGGGTCGGGCTTCCTGGGGCCGAGCGTGCTATGGGCTAGAATCTATAAGAAGGACCACGGGAGGTGTCAGACAGCAAGGGAGAATGATGACATCCAAGTAGGAATCACCCTTTCCATTTGTGTGATGCTCATGAAGTGCTTCCAAGTCTGGCAGCTCACTGGAAATCTCAGGATGGACGGTGAGGTCGACTAGAGCAGGGAGGCCCCATTTTAAAGATGTGTGCCTCACTTTGTGAGGACCAATGGAAAGGAACCTGAACTGTTGGAACCCATTCCCTATGAATTCATGGCCTGAAGGTTGTAAAAATAAAGACCTGGACTGTAAAAAAAAATAAAAATAAAAAAAAATAAAGATGTGTGCCTGTATGCTCAGGAGCTCAATCACGTCCTACTCTTTGCGATGCCATAGACTATAGTCCACCAGGCTCCTCTGCCCATGGGATGTTCCTGGCAAGAATACTAGAATGGGTTGCCATTTCTTTCTCCAGGGGATCTTCCCTACCCAGGGATCAAACCCATGTCTTCTGAGTCTCCTGCATTGGCAGGCAGATTCTTTACCACTGAGTCACTTGGGAAGCACATTTAGGGTGAGCATCCTCTTCCTGTTTCTCCCATTTTCTAATTTCATAGTCAGTGCCCCTGGAATAAATGGGTAGAAGGCACTGGTGGAAACAAACAAGGCTCCCTGGGTTCCACACAAAGATGGCAAAAAGTTCAGGTTGGGGGATTTGGGCAAGATCTTCCCCACAGACGCCCCCAAACAACCCCAATCCTTGTGGGTAGGAGGGGGCTCGAAAGCTGTAAGCTTGTGGGCTACAGAGCTGAAAGGCAGAGCGGAAAGGGAAGACGCCATCAGTCTTGGTTTTCAGAGGTGGAGACTGAAGGCTATTTCATGCTTAGCGTTCATCAGACTTCAACATTGAAAAAAAAAAGAAACTAAAACCCTCTGTGTACTGAGCCTGAAAGGAGCTACGTCAAGGGATGAAGGGCACTAATAAGTGTGGTCCAGCGCCTTCCTCCCCACAGCAAGGAATACAGCACTCCTTAATATTAACAGGAGTCTGTAGGGTCCTGGCTGGAAGCACTGGGTTACCTGTGACCTGGGGGAGCTGGAGAGGGAGGCATGGCGGGGGAGAGAAGCCCTTGTAAACGTGGGTGGAGTCGGCACGCCAAGTTGTGGGGGGCAAGTGCCAATCTCTGTCCCACAGATGTTTTAGAAACACGGTAGGACACTGTTAACTGGATTCATCACCCGTCTCAGGTAAGAAATCACTAAAAATGATAGTAACAATTATTGTCCTGTTAAGGTAACTTGATATGTGTGCATGCTTAAGTCATTTCAGTCATGTCTGACTCTTTGCGACCCCATGGACTATAGCCCACCAGGCTCCTCTGTCCATGGGGATTCTCCAGGCAGGAATGTGGGTTGCCATGCCTTCCACCAGGGGATCTTCCCAACCCAGGAATCAAATCCATGCCTCTTATGTCTCCTGCATTGACAGGCAGGTTCTTTACCACTAGCACCACCTGGGAAGCCCCATTTCCTGGTCTCTATACACATATTAAACTCACTTGATCCTCTAAATCTGGAACACATACAAGGCAGGAATTATTTCTGTTCTTTCACAGAGGAGGAACTGAGGCCCAGAGTATTGAAATGATTTGATCAAAGTCATGCAGCTGTACAGTTCTGAGCTGAAGTTCAAACACAGAATCCTGACTCCATCTCGACCCAGTTTTCTTTCCAGGTAAGAAAAGCTGGGAAGGGCTTCCTTGGTAGCTCAGTGGTAAAGAATCTGCCTGCCAATGCAGGAGACTCAGGTTCAATCCCTGATCTGGGAAGATCCCACATGCCACAGAACAACTAAGCCCGAGTGCAAAATAAACAAATAAATAAAAAGAAAAGACAGGAAGAGAAAGAGCCTGAACAGCAGCCTGGCCTCCCAGCCTTCTCTGAGGGCCTTGCTGGGTGCTGTGCTAAGTCACTTCAGTCATGTTCGACTCTGTGCAGCCCCATGGACTGTAGTCCACCAGGCTCCTCTGTCCATGGGATTTTCCAGGCAAGAATACTGGAGTAGGTTGCCATTTCCTCCTCCAGGGGCTCTTCCCGCCCCAGGGATCGAACTCAGGTCTCTTGCCTTGCAAGCAGATTCTTTACTGTCTGAGCCACCAGAACTCCAGGTAAAGGTGGTCCAGTACAGAGTTACTTGTGCAGTGCACAGGCTGGGACACCGGACACAGGTTCCCCATAACCTCAGGAAGTTTACGTGGCTTGAAGGAAGCAGAAGGAAGAGGGAAGGAAGGATGGGGATATAGCAGAGGAGTGCAGAGAGAAATGAAAGAAAAAGTGATGGACTGAGAATCCATAGTCTTTTTTTTCAACTGAAGTATAATTGACTTACAGTATTATATTAGTTTCAGGGGAACAACATAGTAATTCAATATTTTTAAATATTACAAGAAGATCCAAAGATGGAACATGCATCTCCTGCATTGGCAGGTGGATTCTTTACCACTAGCACTACCTGGAAAGCCACCTAGGATGGACCTAGGTTCATCCATGTTGCAACAGCAAGATTTAATTCTTTTTCACAGCTGAGTAATATTCCACTTTATACACATATACTACCTCTGGACACTTTGGTAGTTTCCATGTCTTGGCTGTTGTAAATGATGCTGCAGTGAACACAGGGGTGTATATATCTTTTCAAAGTAGTGCTTTGAAACATTGAAAAAACACATTGCTGGGACTTCCCTGGTCGTCCAGTGGCTAAGACTCTGCACTCCCAAAGCAAGGGGTCTGGGTTCGATCACTGGTCAGGGAACTAGATCCCACATGCTACAACTAAGAGTTCACGTGCCACAACTAAGACCCAGTGCAGCCAAGTAAACAAATACTTCAAAAGAAAAAGTACTGCTAAGACTGATGTCAAAGAGTGTACTGCCTATATTCTCTTCTAGGGATTTTATGGTTTCAGGTCAAAGAATCCATGGTCTTGGAGTTTAGTCCAACTGTGCTTTTAACTGCAACCTGGGGAAAATCACTCCATCAATCTGAGCCTCAGGCCCACCCTGCATAAAATAAGATGCTGGAACAAATGGATCTAAAGTCCCTTCTGTCTCTAAAACCTTAGAACTAAAAAATCATCTGTGTTCACATGTACACACACACACACACACACACACACACACACCATTGCACCCAGATTATGAATGTCAACACTCATTCATTCATTTAAAGTAGTTGCCTATTAAATGCAAAGCAATTTTAGTGCCCAGTTATGACTTAAAGATGAGCATAAGCTAGACACATATCTGAATATCAAAGTAAACCAAACTATTTATGTTCATATATCAGTCTATGTGTGCCAAGAAGACGGCTGGAAATTTAGCACAGTTATTAGTGACTTGGGCAGGCAAGAAATGCTGGGTCTTCACATTCATGGTAGCTGTTAACTAAGCTTCCCAGGTGGTTCAGACGGTAAAGAATCCACCTGCCAACCCTGGAGACATGGGTTCAATTCCTGGGTCAGGAAGATCCCCTGGAGAAGGGAATGGCTACCCACTGCAACATTCTTGCTTGGAGAATCCCATGGACAGAGGAGCCTGACTGGGCTACAGTCCACGGGGTCACAAAGAATTGGACACAACTGAGTGACTGAGCACACGTTAGTAAGCTCAGAGAGTGTGTCTTGCACATGAACTAAACCAGGTGTCCAGGGGCACATGAAGACACAGTGAAACCCAACGCACGAGCTCGATGAGCTATCTCATGTTCCAAATTCCCAAACGAGAGCCGCGATTGCCCTTAAGACACAGGTCGTCCTGAAGAAGTCCTCTGGACTTCTTCCTGCATTAGGAGAGAAAGATGACTGTGGAGGGGAAGGGGTTAAGCTGTGGTGGGAGTTCGCTGGTTGGAAGGATTTTTATGAGCCCTGGCAGGGTGAACATGTCTCCTGCCCACTTCTGCCAATGCCACGGTGGAATGAAACACTTCCTTCT